AACCGCGCCCCCCCCCCCACCCCCAAGAAAAGGCAAAGGAAAAAAGGAATGATGTCCCATCCCTTCTCTGTAGGCTTTTCCCCACCCAACCCATAATCCAGCATCTTCATTACTGGCCATTGTTTTGGAACTCACTGAGTTAGCATAGTGACGTCAAGGGGGCAAAGACAGCCCTCCTTTCCACAGGTTTGGAGAGGGAGTTGGAGAGCATGGTCTGGGCCTGCCCCAGTATGTGACGCACACCTGGATGCCAGTTCTCTGACAGTGTGTCCTGTTTGGACCCCCTTGCTCGTCCCCGGTCTGCAAGCTTTGCCTGCTGGCCCTCACCTATGCTAGACTAGCCCTTCCCCTTTCCTCCTCTGACTTCAGCTTCTAGGCCTTTGGTGTAGCCACGTGGCCTTCCCAGCATCACCTCTCTGAAGGTTGCTAGGGCCAGAGTCTGGTATCCGACTCCAACCTAAGGTGCAGTGGTTGTGGCTCTTCTCACTCTCCCCATCCTCCCAAGGTGCCTGTCATCTCTCATCTTCCCGATTCCTTACCTCAAAGCCTTTGTCTTTTGGTGGGGTTGACTTGGTTTTGAGACAAGGTCTCTCAGTATGTGGGTTAGGCTGGCCTTGAACTCATTATTCTCTTGCCTCAACCTCCTGAGTGGGTGTCTTAGCTAGGGTTTCTATTGCTGTGAAGAGACACCATGACCATGGCAACTCTTATAAAGGGAAACATTGAATTGGGCCTGGCTTCCAGTTTCAGAGATTTAGTCCATTAATGGCTACACACAGGCAGACATGGTGCTGGACAAGGAGCCAAGAGTTCTACATCTGAGTCCACAGGCATCAGGAAGAGAGAGACGCTGGGCCTGGCTTGAGCACTGGCACCCTTAAAGCCCACTCCCAGTGACACACTTCCTCCGACAAGGACACACCTCCTAGTGCCATTTCCTAAGCATTCAAATCTGAGTCTGTGTGGGCCATTCTCAGTCAGGCCGCCACAGTGGGGTCATCTGACTTGTTTATTTGTTTTGATAGTCTCCTGTATCCCAGGATAGCTGGAAACTGTGTGTGTGTGGGGGGGGGGGGGGGGTGAGTGGGTGACCTTGAAGTCATCCTCCCCTCTCTACCTCTAAAGTGCTTTGATTATAGGACCTGCCATCATGCTAGCTTGCTGCAATGCTAGGGATCTAATCTAGGGCTTTGTAGGTACCAAATAACTACTCAAGCAGACGAACTACATCTGAAGTCCTGCTTGTTTTTTTTTTTTTAATTAAAACATTTTTTTTTCTTGAGCTAGTGTCTTGTTATGTGGTCCAGGCTGGCTTTGAACTCATGATCCTCCTGCCTCAGCCTTGAGAAGACTCTGAATCTGGGCATGCTCCGTCATGCCTATCTTTCTTTGGTTTTGAGTCTGCTTCCCTGTGTAAGCCAGGCTGGCCTTACGGTTGCCATCTTCCTCCCTCCACCTCTCTAGCGCTGGCTTTAGCTGCACCACCAGGCGCTGCTTTCCTCCCACTTTTCAAGCACGTTATTATGCCCAGGCTTGCATGAACCCCTGTGTAAATCACCCTAGGAACTTTGCACACAGCCTTGTGCAGCTTTTTGGACATGAGAAAATTCAAAGTCTTGAGGAGAGTCACCCTGTCAGCTCAGAAAGTGGAGCCCAGCTCTGTCTGACTCAGGAGCCGCTGAACTCAACCAACGGCTCATTCACCCATGTGTTGGGTAATTACTACGGAGTGCTTGTTGTGCAAGCCTACTTGAACACCTCCCCTGCCTTGTGGGCTGTGTGGGAGACAGGCACAGAACAAAGCAACCTTCCAGGTAGGTATCAAGGTCCTGCTGTGCCTGGAGCAGGGTGAGGAGAGGCTGCTGGCTTTCC